ATTGGAGCGAAAGGGCTCATCTGAGGCAAAGGTTATTTGCTGCTCACAGTGGAAAAGGGGTGGAGTGGCAAACAGAGTGGTAACCTGAAAACCAGCTAAAAACACTAGGCATACCTGGCTGTGCAAGGATGGCTAGCGTTGATGGTGAGGCCTGATTCTACAAAGACTGCAAACGGGCACAGTGAGGGAGTGACAAGTCCATGAACGGAAGGGCTTACAGCGAAATTCCTGAGTCTCTGTGTAACTGACCCTCTTGCCAATGAAAAGTTGCTGATGGCGTATGTCCGAAAGAGTTGATGTGCACCTCCATGCTAAGCCACCACTACCACCTGCAGGTTTGTTTCTAATTCACGTCACTCAGGTAATGAATATTTCACCTGCCAGTTTTATGAATGCCCTTTCAGTTCTACCCTCCCTCTATTTTTTAAAAGCTCACCTTTGCCCAGTCTCCTGCCAGCCCCAGCACAGGTATCCCCCATGCAAAGTGGCAACAACTTGGGGAAGTTGGTTAGAACTGTCACTTGCTATTTCTCATGACCAAAGCACCTAAGATCTTCAGTCTCTCACTAGATCCTTTGTTCCCACCCTGAGGATGTGTGGTAGTCCTGGTTCTCAGAGGGGCTGGCTCCCTGGATTGCCTGGTTTGTAATCTGGTGCTCCTCGGCTGCCTCTCTTTTCTTTCTTTGGGAGATATCGCCCTCCCTTCAGCTCTGTGGGAATCCCATCCCTTGGAGAAAGGACAGAGGAGGAGGCAGGGCACCTTCAGCAAACATGCAAAGATGCATGTGAGTCACCAGAAGTCTAATGACCTTTCTGTTTGTTATCTGTTTCCATGGTCACCACTGGATCTCAGGATGGGAAACTGCCCTCCATACATGCGGAATCATGGTGTCAGTCCTTATTGACTCTTAAGCTTCCCTGTTGCTCACAGGGAACACCAGTATGGAGTTCACCACTATGGAGTTCACTCTTTTCCTCCTCCCATCATCTCCTTCCACTTCAAGTCACTGCCAACAGTGCTCCTCTGCCTCTCAATCCCCAGGTCGAATGTCACCTCCCTTGGAAGTCTTCTCTGAAGGCCTCTCTGCTGGGGAGTGTGCCCCTCTTTTCCCTGCATCTCACAGCACCCCATGCTTCACCTGAGTGACGGTGCTTCTTGCATGGTAAACAGAGGTTAGTGTATGTGTCCTTTCCATCCAGAGTGCTTTAGGCTAGGTGGCTCTCAGAGATTAACATATCAGCATGTTGTCAGAGCCTGACTTTGAGCACCCAGCTCCCAGCAGGTGCTCAAAAAATGTTAACAGAACCAATGAGGAAAAACTAGAAGAGAAATGGTCATTTGTTAATTTATTGAGCAAAACACAGGTAGAATGATACAATGAGGCACTGACCCAATAAAGAAAGCAATGTCTTGGTGTTTTGAGACAGGGTCTCCCTTCCTCCTATGTATTCTAGGCTGACTTAGTATGCAGCCCAAGGCTGGCCTTGAACTTGTGATCTTCCTGCCTCCACCTCCCAAGTGCTGGGATTACAAGTGTGACCATGCTTGGTTAAGCAAGGGTGCTGTTAATAAAACTTCTTTCAAATCTGTGACCATGCGAACTGTGAAGTAAGTGCTTTTATTCTTTCCATAGAACAGATTTCCAAACAACCATCACAGTGTTAAGGTTATTAAGATGCTGGACAGATGAGTAGCCAAAGAATATCAGAAAGTAACAAATTCTCAACAATATATCAAATGAAAATTTACTGAGACAGAATATATGTTTGTAGTTACATGGCTAAAAATGAGACATCATAACCAAGTCCGTAAAACTAGGAAAAAAAGCACTGTATAACAAGAAGGCCTTTCATAGCTATCAAGTGAGCGCACATTATAGACAAACCAGTTTTATAGAAGCAGCTTATAGCACCGACATGTTGGCAGGACCAGCGGAGTGGTGGGGTCATTGAACCAAGGCATCTGGGAACAGGTGGGATTTCAGCCATCATCTACTTCAACCCCTATTATAAATGGGGAAGTGAAGGTCCAGAGATATGAAGTGCCTTGTCCAAAGTCACACAGCACAGGATTAATAAGAAAATGATCCAAAGCTACAATCCAGGTCACTGACATCAGGTAAGTGCTCTATTTTAATATACACATATAATTCTATTTGATTTACGGTGTTTTTCCTATCAACAGGCTTACCATGAAAGAAATCGATACAACTCATAACGTACTCTGTATTACATTTTTTTTCACAGGGAAATGACTGCTATGCACTGCTTCTCTATACATCTTAAATAAAAATTCAAGGCAGTCAGTCTACTACCTTAGTTACAAATTGGTTGAGAAGGTACATCTGAAGAGATAATTTGGCACATCCTTCACTATGTAAGCTAATTTATGCATCAACATTACTAAGTCATCGGTATGAAGTTTTTTTTTTCCTGATAGATTAAAGATTAGTAAGTACAAAAGTAGTCCAGAGATGGAGAAAGCAAATTAGGCCTTTTCTTTAAAAGGTAAACTTGGTAATTTTCACTTTAATAAAGAATTTTAAAAACTGACTTTTTTTTTTAGAAAAAGAAAAAACATTTGGCTACAACTCATGGTTTGTGAACCACGAGGTATATAAAGTATTTTCACTGTTAAAATGTGTCTTCTGTAAAATACTTTGTGGAGTCGTGATCTAGCCATGGTCTTGTGGCCTCAGCTGGACAGATTTATGATGCTACTTAAGTTATAAGAATGAAAGAACAAGATCACTGTTACCAGAAGTGTCATTAAAGACAAAATATACTGAACACAGCTGAACGGTTTCATGGCAATGGAGCCAAGAAGTTGCCGGTGTATATGTAGGTGCAGAGGGAAAAAAAATCACACCTGCTGGGCACCTGTCTATCATCAGAAACCAACTACTGCAGACAGCTAAGTTGTGGCTTCACAAGTAGAAAAAAAGCCAGATAAATAAAAGTGACTTTGGCATATCATATATATGTATACATATATTATATCTTCTTACACAGACATCTAGTTATAAGTAAGTCAACATTTGACTACAATTTTCCCACTCTTGGGTCCAGCATTGAAAAATTTGTTTTCATTTTCTCATAAATATGCCCCATACCTGACCAGGAAGTCACAAGACATTATACTCACAGCCTTTATTCCATCTGAGCAGTGAGAATAAAATGAAATCTCCTGGGAACTCAAGTCCATTTCTTACCGCTACAAGCATCTTACAAATGGATAGCAAAATGTATCTTGTTAGGCCAAAGACTACGTTCCAGTACTAAAGAATAAAATATGCTTGCTACTAATAATAATGTGTGCACATGAGAGAACAGTAAAATTTCATGAAAACGTTCTGTAATAAGCTGCATTATAAATATTTAAAGAAACGTTAAAAATTAGAGTAAAGATTAGTGTTCTGAAACTATCAGTAGAAAAATATACTTGTAAAAAAAAGAATGTTTCCTTAAGTGAAGCACTGAATATAAAAATTATCTTTTTAGTGTACATTTCTAATTTTACCTTTTGAAAGGCAAAAGCTTTCTCCCTCTTGAACAGGTGCCTATGATTTATGTGTGAGGTGGGTGTATTACAGAACTGAGCAGCAGGTGACAAAAAGGTTGCAGGCAGTGCCGTGACTTCCACATGGTCAGTTCACAGTGCTGAGCAGATGGGTGACTTGGAGAAATACTGAGACTCTCTGAGCCATTTGGAGACAGTACAACATTTGCTCACTGTCAACGGACATGATACTCAAAGCCCAGAGGTTAGATTTTTTTAAAAAGGGATTTGCTTTTGGGGGGCAGATTGAACATAAGTAGGGGAAGCCATTGTAAATAACACCTTCTGGTGGTTGAATCCTTTTTGAGAATAAGTTTTTAAACCTTCATTAGTTGTTATTTTAATGAATTGAAGATGAATTAAAATATCACAGGCCTAGTGTATGATTTGGACCTCTAAGTGAACATTTAAAAAGAACCTTCTTTTCCTCTGTGACAAAGTCAAGGCACACTCTTTGCTACGGGAGGTTTATTCCTTTGGGATTCCCACCAAACATTCTGAGGATGAGAAGAAAATAGAGGCGCTAATATTCAGCTGCTGGAACCTCTGGGCCAAGGAATGTCCTGCTTCATGCAAACTTTTGGAGGCCTCGCTTCCCCTTGATGTTTGTGGACAAGGTAGGGATGAAACCATAGGTATCTGAGAACTTACGTGTTTTGACACTTTACATGGTTTGTATGCATTCCCTTCTCCTGGCACATGGGAGGATGGGGGGGGAATGCCCCCTCTGAAAACAGATACTCTGGCAGCAGAGGAAAGATACAAGGCAGGCAAGCGAGAAAGAGAGAGGGCTGACTTGCACAGCTGGGCCAAAGACAGCAGCTGGTTCACACATTTCTGCTCCTCTCTTGGCAGGGCTGATAATTCACTCTGTCTCATTCCAATCACCAGGGGGAAATTTCAGAGGTGTCTACCCCAATCCAGCAGAGATCATGGACCCTGGACTGCAGCTGCCAAGGTCCACTGGAGAATCTCCTGCCCCTTTTCAGACTTAGGATGGCTGAGCCCAAAGGTTCCTTGTGAATCAGTACCTTATCAGAGGGCTTTCAGTTCAGCTTTAAAGTTTTAGTTGGCATGGTTTATCACAACCTAAGAGGTTCGGTAAGATTTCAAGAGAGGACTCTGCTACCTGATTATAATGATATCATGTTTAGGAAGTTCCTTTTTTACTCTTTGTATAGCAGCTATGCGAAAAGAATTTTTTATTCTACTTATACACAACTCAAGATAAAGATACAACTTCTAGAGTTGAAGAGCTGATGTTATAGAAAAAGGGGGGTTTCCCATGAGAAAATAAGCATGGATCCGTGTATACACAAAGATGTACATATACGCAACACATCCCTCTCCCTCCTTGGATACTATACAGGTTGGCACAAACTTTGTGAAGAACATAATATAATACGAAGGTTTAAGGATTGAAGTTATTCTTGGCATTTTAATTTGATTGATACTTAGGCAATTTAGGTTTTGACATATCTGAATCAATTATATATTTAAAGTATGCAGATGTGTTTTTTAAAAGGCCCATACCAGCTTTCCTAATACAGCAACCCAATATAATACCATAGTCATCAAATGGAAAACAAGATTGTTATTCTGTATTAAATCAGTAAAGGGTATTTTAAAGACAGGGCAACTTGGAAGATGAAGACTTCAGAGTCCACGAGTCCAAGTGAAGAGTGTTTTAGTTATTAGCAGTGGTTACCAGATAAGCTGAAGGCAAAGCTCTCGGAGGAGCTGCTTGTAGTTTTGCTGTGTTGAGAAGAGACGAGGAGCTGTATCACTGTTCCACTATAGGATGATGCATGTTTTTTTATCCTTGAAGGGGTTTTCTGAGGTTGGTATGCCTATCAGCAGAGGGTCGCTCCTGGCGTGCTCCTCACAGTAGGACATGAGGTCCGCGGATGCCTTTGAGACCTGGTGTAGGGACAAACGAAGGCAAAAAGATAAGAAAGAGAAGACTATTTACAAACCTCAAGAGTGGATGTGAAAGCTGAGTCGCAGAGTGAAGACTGATTTGAACAGGATAACCAGTCTCAGAGCATTGCTTTCCTTGTCAGGTACAAAGGAAAACTGTGCCTAGTGGGTAAGGCCTTCCTTAACTAAGTGATCAGACTTAGCAATCAGATACCATGTGTCCCCTTGTGTGAGTACCAATGGTACCCTACCAGCTAGTAGCCTGCATTCCTGCCAAAACATTTAATAGGAATCTAATTAGCAAACAATTATACCCTAAGTGAGGACAATTCTGCAAAGTGAGTGGCCTGGATTCTTCAAAAATGGACTGTGTGTTAAGTACTATTTATTACTAGATAATCCTGAACTGCAAGTAGCTTTCAAGTGGCTCAAAGAAAAAAATTACAAGCGTCTTCTGTGTAAGTCTGGAGAAACAGACACACACACAGAGAATGTAAGCAAAAATGGCTAAATGTTAACAAGCAGTGAAATATTGGTAAAGAGATTATGAATGTTTCTTGTTAAAATTCTGTTGCAGGCTTGAAATTTTTCAAAATAAAAAGTTGGGGGGAAGGGAAGGAAAGTGTGTGTGAATCAAGGGAAGGTTATATCTTAGTTCCTATCCAAGAACAAATAGATTGGAATGCAGAACAGTTTAAAACTGAATTATGGGCTTGGAGCCACAACTCTGGAGCCAAGTCGTAGAGCTTCAAGATTTACTGTTAGTGACAGGGCATGGGGGAAATCACAGGACAAAAGCAGCATGGGAAGAAGCTGTGTCTTACTCCAGCACAAGCCAGACCCGGGAAGTACCAAGCCCTGTTTCAGAAGTTGGTGGGAAATCCCACGTAGCAATCAGATCGGGGAGTAAGGTAAGGAGTGTGGGGCAGACAGGGCCTGGGAGCCTTGTGCTATGAAGACAGGTGACTGTCTCCAGGCCCAGAGAAATTTATCAGGTGGCTGTTTCAGTTTCTAGGAAACAGCATTAGTCACAACATTCCAGGGCTCTCACTGCCTAGTCCTCTCATGGGACTGAAGCAGAAAGATTTCAAAGTCAGATGGCATAAGGAAATGCATTCTGGCTTCTCTTGGGGCTCTATACTACTACAATTGGCATTACTCACCCTGGGGGTAGAAGGTGGTCTCTGAGGGGGAAACATTTAAAAAGCTGCATTGTCCTAAAAAGAAGATCCTGACTGCTGACTTGTTATGGAAGACTACCTCAACTGCACTGATAACTCTAGAACACTTGGTAAATTCCAGAGGGATGACGATGGTGTTTATGAAGTCCACCTGGAACCCCTGTCCGCTCTGGAAACAGCGATCACATGACTTGACCATGCTCATCTGGGGAAGGCAGTTCATGAGGAAATCCTGTGCAGGGTCTTATGACAAAGAAGTGAACTCAGACATCTGGCTCCTCAGCTCTTTTGAAATGAGACCCGTGCTTGGTAGGAAAGGAAAATTAAGGTGCTGAGACGTTCAGCCTATGTGCTAGGAAAGTCCTTGGAACCAGGTGAAATAAATGGCTTTATCTTTTCTGACTTGTGTCCCAGCCCTGCAGGAGCAGGGGTACTGAGTGGAAGGCACAGCTCATCTTGTCAAGCTTCTTACCTTTATTCTTTCGATGGAAGCTTCCAACCTTAGCTGTTGCACAGTTCTCCTTGCCTGGACTATGTTGTTGGTGCTTGCTGTTTTGCTGGACATCTTCAATGATTGTTCTTCCCTGCAATCTGAAGGGAAGTTTTTTTTTTTTTAAAGGTGAATAGCATTCATCTTTAAAGTTTATTTAAAGCTTCTAAAAATGGGTGTTATTTGAAGGGAAATGGATGCATTTTCCCAGTCATCATGGCCCTCTCAAATCTAGTGAATGGCTGAGGGCTTTCAGCTTGCCATCCACTTGAACTCCGACATAAATCTTTTTGCAGAAACCCAGACTAACAGTTTAATCAATGCAGCACAACATCCAGCCCCAAAGTGTCCCTTTGAACAGTTTTCTAGGAAGAAACAAATATGCATAAACATTTGCAGTAATGAAGACATGTCTACATATGGAAGTAAGCATTTGTCACATCAGTCCCTTTACCTACTTTAATAGAAGGTTTGATTTTCTTTTGGGCTCTCTCTCCTAACTTTTAGCCTGATGCAACTATTAGCAACAGAAAATGAGAGAGCTCCCTCTTTTAGAGAACTGTGCACATTTTCAAGGTGCTATTGAGATGTGCAATCATTTGGAGACCATTAGGCAAGTAAGCAAGTTTTTACTCAAGACAAACCTGGAAGCTTTCAGCTGAAGGACTTTCAATGACAGATCCATAGTAAACATCAAATAAGATGTAAAAGTAGCCAAAAAGCTGAAACAATTGATGAAACTTTGTCATTCCTTCCTTTGACCTTCCCTGGCCTTGTTCTGCTGGCCAAGATTCTCGCTAATCCCCGTATGTTTGAGGATTGACTCTCCTTGGAGTCTAGGCTGCTCTGTTTTCCTTTCTCCCCAGCCACCTGATGCAAAGCAATGGCAACAGCCTGGCCCTTGAGCTTTGACCTGTCTGGTTATCCAGTGGCACATTTGAAGAGGGAGACAGGCTCAGGACAAGTGCTGCCTGGTGCCCCTGCCATATATGGTTAAGTTCACTCAGCATGGTGGCGACGAGGAAAAGGCAGAGCTGGCAGGCTTGGCAACAGTGTGGCAGCTTTATGACTCATGGAAGCAGGTGGACAGTAGGTGTGCCTCCCCAGTGCTATGCAAGCGCTCAGCAGTCTTAGGGCACCGTGGCGCCACCAGCAAACCCTGGCTGACTCAACCTTTTGGAAGGCCCGCAGCTGCACAAAGCTGTGCAGAGTAGGCTGCAAAAACCACCAGCAACCCACAGGCTCCACACAGAGTCCTGCCACACTTAGGATGAGTGTGAACAGGGATGAGTTCAAGGATATGGATAGGGCTGCACCCTCTGAGGTCACGGGAAGCTTTGGGTCAAATGCACAAATAAAACTTCTTTAACTGCTTGCAGAACTTTGAAGCTGGCCTCACAGGCAGGCGTCACATTCCTGGGTTTGGACCCTGTCTCTGCTACTAACTGGGTGAAACCAGACAGACTGCTTCACTTCTCTGTGTTCAAGCTTTTTCACGTGGAATGTAAGTATACTATTACATCAACCTCAATTTTTTTTTTTTTTGTGGGGTGAGAGGGGATTCAATTCACTGATGCACACCTGGTGTCTAGCATAGGACTAAAGGCCAGCAGCTATTATTTTTATCCTGGGGGTCACACCCACAGCACTGTGAGATGGAATTCCTTACTTACCTGTTTGCTCTGCCTGCCCCTTTCCTACCTGCTCAGGGAGCCTTGAGGGTTTTGACTGGGTCTTGGTGGGGCTCTGGCATCAGCACTTTTGAGCAGATCCCTAGGTAGTTCTGCCACACTTTTTTCTCAAGGCAGAATGGAAGGGCTCGTGACAGCCAACATAGGATTCTCTGAGGAATAAGGAAGACTGGCAGTACAGGAAACTGGAAGAAGGAAGTGTGTGGCAGGGCAGGGTGTCTTTGTCTTGTCCTAGGCCTTGGGCGACCTGATTTCAACACACTCCCAGACTGCTACTGCCTTTTCCGCAGATTCCTCAGTCCTGTGGCACCACCCAAGGGAGAGGCCTATGGTCTCCTCCCTGGGGGTGTAGCCCATACCCCAGGGTCTGGCCCAGCCCATTTCTGTGCTCCCAGACCAGGCTTATTAGCTAGGGGCCTGGGATGCAATGGAGGCAGGGGCAGCCTCACTGCAATCAGTGTGCAATGCCTGGATGCACAGCAAGTTGGTTTACATGGTCTATTCCCTGCAACATGGGCTCCCCTTCCAGCTGGTGGCTGGCTCTCAAGCCTCCAGAATGTGAACCTGACACCTTCTCTGAGTGGCCTGTGGTTTCCAGACTGCACCCTCAGGATTTTCTGAATTTTCCCTTTGTGTGAGGATAATGTCATGCATTCTCTTCTCAATCCCTAGTGCATAAGGTTTCTGTGCCAGGGCAAGTTTTCCTGTAACTGCAGAACAGGTCACACATGTCAAGACTAAATCGCCCATTGCTCCCACCTGCGTGGTCACAAGCAAATAGTCCATAGTCAGGATCTAGTCATAAAAGCCTGGGTAGGTCCCTTTCAAAGTCATGAGAGAACTGGCATCTGGTTAGGAAAGACTTTCCTTTCCCACTGTGTTGCAGCTGGGATTAAAACAGCAAGCTAGCCAGTAAGAAACAAAACAAGGCAGAAAAAGATAAGAAATGCGAGCAATACACAATGCACGCTTGCCAGCTCCGGCTTCTTGCAGGTGGGTGTTCTGACCTGCTCCTTCACAGGGGACCTTCTCACCACTCCCCCAGCTTGCTCCCTTCCATGGGAAGGAATCTTGCAGTCCCAGGCTCTACAAAGTCCACGCAACACACTTTTTTCTTTTTTCCTTAAAGATACTGAGTCTCACTATGTTGCCCAGGATGGAACCGAACTCCTGGGCTCAAGTGCTCCTTCTGCCTCAGTTTCTCAAGTAGCTGGGACTACATGTGTGTACGAGTATATTCGGCCTGTGAATAGGCCCAGGAAGACATTTTTAATTTAGTGCTACAGGTTCTGGGTACAGTGTGCTGAGAACAGATGGGTAGGAGGGATACAGAGCCTGCCCTCATAGAGATATTAAACAAGTAAGTGACACTTTCTTTTGCTTCAGGGACACCTCACTCTTTCACTGCTTGCCACCTTTCTCAAGTTCCCAATTCAAACACGGTTTCTCTTGCCAAAAGTTTCTTCTCTACTGGCACATGGATAACCCCATCCAGAAAACTAGTGAACGTTTTGGAGTTAGGAGAGTTTTACAGATCCTTTAATGCAGCTTTCTACTGAACACTGTATAGCAATAGCTTTAGGAAGTCAATTAAATGGGATACTTGTGGACATCCCTAGAATATATACATGGTCCACTGGAAAAGACTGTAACCTTTTATTGTAACTTTGTTCTTATGGAGAAATCAGCTCAAAATCATTCAGCTTCAGGTTGAGGAGCCTCTTCAGCTCTGCTGAGGTGCCTATGTCTAGGCAGGGGCTGCTGCTGTTTGGCTCTTGGGAGGGGAGGACTCTCAGTGCTGGGGCTGGCTGAGGACTCTCTCTTTGCAGCTGCTTTGCATAGTTTCAACAGCTGGCTTGAGGCAGCTATTGACTGAGAAGTTGGGGAAACCTATCTCCAAACATCTCTACTCCTTTGTAGGGCCTGCCCTGGTCTTCCCTCAATGGTGGGAATATCTGGCTGTTTGTTTGTGCTATTAGCTTGCTTTATTCATACACAGAACATCCTCCAAGGCACACAACATCTGATATTTCTGTGGAACCTGAGTGTGCACACGTTGCTTTCACACGTTATTCCAGGAGGCCTCACTACAATCCTGAATGAGATATTACCATTCCACCTGTTTTACAGAGGAGGGAACAGATGTTAGAAAGACTGGCTTCAAGGTAACCGAGTCTGTGCATCTTGAACAACTGTAAGCCTTTTCTTTGCAGACGCCACCCTTCCCACTTGCTCGGAAGAAAGGGTATGATTCCACTTAAGGTGATTCACACACACTCAGGGCATTGCATCGTGAATGTTCTATACTGTGGCCCTTAATCAGGAGTGACTTGGACACTTCCCAACCTAGAGTCTGACCTGGACACTCACCAACCTAGAGTAGTGGCTTGCAGACTGCCTTGTGTTTACGCAACATCCTTTCTGGGGAAGAAGGATTTTGGCTGTGTATCTTATACACCAGCTAGCAGACACTGTTCTCTGCAGCTCCCAGGTAAGGACTGACTGAGGTCAGCATTCCTGGTCCTGAGGCCCAGTATTCAACCACCCAGCAGGGTCAAGGCCAGTGTGGGTCTTAGCTGATAGCTATGTGGCCATCTGACAAACCTATCGATTCCGCAGCCTTTCTTTCAGCTTTACACATGGGCAATACATTTGAATAAACGTAGCGTTTAGCTAGTCAAATAATTGGCATTGGTTTTGATGGTGTGGCTCATCTGAATTCTCAGGTTCCTAGAAATTCTTAGGAACAAGATGTCCCTTAGGGAAATATAAGCATTTTCATCTTGGTTGAGAGGCCAGGAGCTACAGAGGAGGGTGGGGCTAGAAAGTGGCAGGAAAGCACCAGCAAGTCTTAGGGTCTGAATGACAAAGCCATACTGGCCTGACCAATAAATGAATCACAGAGATAAGCCAACTTTCAAGAGCTAACATCCTCCTGTGGCTGTAAGAAAAGACTGGGTTAAAAAAGAAAGCCACGAGCTACCACTTATCCTCTGGCCTTGCCTTTGACTTCCTAAGTCTCACTCTGGAAAAGGTGGACTCTTCCTAAGCAGGGGTGTTGGGAGGACACAGGCACTCCACTCAATGCACTATGTGCACAAATGTTTATGAATTGCTGGGCACCCCGTGCCCATGTGCTTGGTGAGAGACAAGAGAAAGATCTGGACAGCTACTGAAGAATTTCAAGGCTTTGTGATCAGTAGTGCCAGTATTCTTACAAGGCCTTGGAGGGAGTGCAGAGCAGGCTCTTAAAAACAGGTTTTCTAACTGGGCGTGTGCCACCACCAGCATTCAGGAGCTGAGGGAGAAAAAGTGCGTGTTCCAGGCCAGCCTGAGCTGCATAAAGAGACTCTGTGTCAAACAAAATTAAAAAAAACAAGAAAACCAAAGTTTTTCTATCTTCATGAGCA